ACAGTAAATAATATTTTACTAGATATTTTTCAAGGCACTTCTATATAGCTTAAAGTAACATTTAGAGGCCTAACTAGGTTAATTAGGTTAACGGGGCAGGTTAGGGCAATTAGGCAAGTTATTGTAGAATGATGGTTTGTTTTGTAGACAATTGGGAAAAAATAGCCTAAAGGGTCTATTAATTTTGTCCACAAAATGGTTATTAAAACATTAAAAACAGTTTTTATTCTAGACTATTTAAGACTATCTCTAAGACTATCTCAAGAAGAAAAAAAATATTAAGACATACTGTGAAAATTTCCTTGCTCTGTTAAACATCATTTGGGAAATATTTAAAATATACAAAAATTCAAAGAGTAGCAATTAATTCTGAATTCAACTGTATATTCGTCAGGTATGGCAACCAAAATGCAACATCTGATAGATGTCATAGTGGTAATGTCCACACAACGTCAAGCTGTATCAACTGTCCAACATTGGACTCTGACGTCGACCTGATGTCAACCTGATTTTCAATTCCAAAATGCAACGTCCCACAACATAAAGATACGTTAATCTGACGTCATGTTGACTTCCTATGCCTGCTGGGATACTTGTCGTCTTTAGCAAACCAGGTTTTAAATCCTTACCCTTTTCATTCTTTAAAGTTAGAAATTATCCTTCTCAGTACTCCTTAAACTATTATTTCAAGAGTTCGCATTAGATATTGCTTGATACAATTAGCAGGTTTGTTATGCTGCCCCAGGGGTCAATAAGCATATAAAGAGGTTCGAGATCAAGTAGGTTTTGAGAGCTCCCCTTGGTAAAGGAGGAAAAAGAGGAGATGGGGTGGAAGAGGGATTCTTCCAAAACGAAGATAAGGTAGTAGGGCAAAATCTGCCAATTTATTGTAAGCTTGAATCAATCTGATTGGACTACTGCTGACTACAGATGAGAGGCCAGCCACAATCAATCATATCACATGCTCCTCTTAAAATCCTCTTAAAGTTTGTACAACTTCACTTATTTTATTTTTTGTAAAAAGCATATAGGGTCACTAGCGACCCAATGTTTGTAATAATGCAATTAAATTATTTCCTCCACAAAATAATTGACTTAATAGGTTCAGTTCACCTTTATTCATCAAGGTGGCTATAATACACATGGTAGCCTCTCCAATGTTCTGTCATATTGAGCAAAGCTAAGCATCATTTTTGACCAAAGTAGGATATAGGCACAAAAGACAAAAGTTATCCAATTTGAATTACATCACTATAAAAAGTCACATGTGTGATACACTTGGTAACCATAGCAATGATCGAAAGCAAAGCTAGTATTCACTATTTTTAAGATTACAGCATCAAAGACTTCTGGTCCAAGCAATCATTATTAAACTTCTTTGTGCTTCAGCATTGTAGTTTAAAATGTAAACAGGTGCAGGTTGAGATATTTCAGTATGCAGCTCATTTATTTCTAGTTTAAACTGTTCTTATTTTGGTAATGAGACAATATGTGCCTAATTTCCTGTTGTTTCTTGTTGTAAATACACTAATTAAAGAGATAACTGATACATGTTTAAATACATCAACATCTATTTGTTTAGTTTGGTTCTGCATACATAGTTCAATGTTGTTGTCTTTACCATAATTTACAGAAGTGTAAGAGTTCAACATACATTAAAATGTTGCTGAAGAGTAAATGTTTCTAAACAGATAATAATCAGCCAATTTAATATTTATAACAATAGCAATAAAACAAATCTAAATACTCTACAGAAACAGATTCACGCGTGAGTCTGAATGATGACTTACACTTGAGCATCTGGACTGATGTTGAGAAGTTTGCTTAGAGCCACACACAGGCGCTCATGGAGGTCGTGATTCAACCTGATGTCTGCTTTGATCCTTTCAGCATTTCTCTCCAACAGGTCCAGGATCAGTGGTCGTAAGTGACGAGCGATGAGGAGAGTGTATTCCTTTTCCAACAAGAGCTGTGCAAGACATTCCAAAATGCACTGCCTGTCCTGCTGACTCCATATCTACAAGCAGAAAGATTTGTCACAGTCAAAACAGTACATAAATAAATCTGGTCACACTTTATTTTGATGGTCCATTTGTTGAATTAAATTACATTGAATCTACATGTCCACTGATTCTCATTAGATTATAAGTAGATTGTTAGGTTGGGGTTAGGGTTAGTGTAAGTTGACATGTAATTGCAAACTTTCTTATAGTCAGTTAAATGTCTGTTGAAGGAGCAGTATCAACAGATATTACGCAAACAGTCAAGTAATATTCAAATGGACCATCAAAATAAAGTGTTACCATTAACACATTATAATAACATGAAAACATGAAGGACTCTATCGGAATCCAACAAATAAAAACACCCTTCTGAATGAATACACACAAAAAATTTACTAATTTATTTTTAATTCTTGTTCATTTATAGGCTTCTATTTTTAAATGATAACTAAAAATGATGTTGGGCTGCACAGTGGCTCAGTGGTTGGTACTAATAATCACATGACAAGGAATTTTAAAATCCTAAAATATTTTATCCCATTAATAATCAAAGTCCTACTAGAAAGTCTAAGCAAGTCTGAGCAAAAGAATCTCATTTTGTTGGAATCTTTTAAAAAATTGCCATACATTAGGGCTGCACAATATATCGTTTCACATTATTATATTGCAATGTGCGCTTTCGCAATATTGACATCGCAAAGACTTGCAACATTGAGTCTAAGGTTACGTAATATATCGTTTCAGTATTGATATCGCAATGTGTGCATCCACAATAGTCACATTGCAAAGTTATGTTCATTTTGTTGGAATCTTTTAAGACATTGTCATACATTGGGTCTGCATAATATATTGTTTCAGCATCGATACCGCAATGTGATTATTTGCAATATTGATATTGCAAAGATATGCATTGTGAAGTCTAGGGCTGCACAATATATCGTTTCAGCATAGATATTACAATGTGATCACTCACTATAGTGACATCACAAACATATGCAATATTGAGTCTAGGGCTGCACAATATATTTTTTTAGCATCGATGTCGCAATGTGATCATTTGTAATAGCCACATCAAGAGTATACGCAACGTTGAGTCTGAATTATAATTTTTCATTTCACATGTTTTTGAGGCCTGTGTCTATGTGAGGGATTTAAAAGCAATCCTAAAAAAAATCTGTAACTCTGACAAATGAACAATGATTAATTTTAATGAATGGTTTGTAAAACAAAGACTATGCAGTATTATATTACATTTGATTGTTCAATTACTGTATAACTAAATACAGTTTGACTCCTCGGAAAACAATAAAACACTGTTTATTTATTTGGTATATTGTTCCTTATTGAATTTCTCTAAAATTTGATCTAAAATGATAGATTCTTTCTAAATAGATATTCAACTCACCTAGTGAAATTGTTTTTTATATCGCAATTTACATCAAAAACTAATATATATATATATATATATATATATATATATATATATATATATATATACACACATATCAATGTTTAATTTCTTTTTTTATCGTGCAGCTCTAGAATACATATACAATTTTTATTATTTTGAATTTGATACATATTCCAACATGGACTTAACATGGACCTATTATACACACACACACACATATATATATATATATATATATATATATATATATATATATATATATATATATAACAGAAGAAAGCAAATTGATTAATGTCCTATTATATGTAGTCTCTTCTTGTATATTTGTCAAAACAATAATCTGATAATGTTTAAAACTCAAACTATGTTACAACAGCACCAGAATAACCCATCATGCTCAAATGCATCAGCTGCTAATAAAACTATTGAATTTATACATCACCTCAGTACTAAAACAACCAGCAAAGCAGCATGTGTACTACAGAAACGTGGTACAGTGAGGTGTGACACACGTTGTGCTCTGCATCTGTTTAACAGATGAAAGTCTCTAATAACGGTCCTATGAAGTAAACAAAGCCTGCAGTCTCACCTGTTTTGCGAGATATTTGCTGAGTTCGTTCTGACTTTTATCGATGTGTCTTGATATTGCACCCAGAGATGTCAGGCTCAACTCCAGGTTTTCCATTCTAACATTTGTCGTGAATATAGGGATTTCCGACAATGACTGTGTTGCTGATAAAGACTATACTATTGGAAGTATTCTAAGTGATGGGAACCATAAGATTCATCCCTCACTTGGCTGTCCAGGTTGTATCACAACACAGCGAGCACGTTCCCGTCAGTATTAAAATCCATGTCCACATGTGAGTAAATGAAGAGCACTTCCGGGTCATTCGCCTGTGTCGCGGAGCTCAAGCTCCCTGTGCTGCAAACTCGCGACTGTGATTATGTTTACGTAAAATGATTTTGTTAAAAAAAACAACTGTAAAATGTTTCAGTCGGCTGTACGAATGCTATTTACGTGCCTCACATGTTATAAAAGCAGCATTGTTTTCAATAGCTTGTCCAAATACATTAATTCATTGTATTCGGCCAACAAAGCAGCAATTAGTTCGTCACCATATTATAAAAAACGCTCAAATAAGATTTAGTTTATTATCGGCAGTGTTTGTAATGTAGGTAATTGCTAACGTTATACGAAATCTGTTTGGTCAGCAATAGTTTGAACTTTTTAAATATTAAATGCAGATGTTTACAACAACCTTAAAATCATAAGAAAACCATGATTGTGTAAATTTAACCTGAAATGAAAACAGACATACGTTGCTAGATTCAAAATGTTAAAAAATATGAACTTTTGTACATTTTAAAAGAATAAAATGCATTGCTGGACTCAAAATGTATTTACGTTTTTTGTTACGTAAATAACAATTTATTTTGAACTTTTTTATTTTCTCATACAATATCTGATTTGAAATATACATAAAATATGAATATGAATACATTTTTAAGACCCAAGATCTTTGTTAATTACTTTCTTTTAGAAAAGGAGAGACCGCGGGAAAATGACGTCACTTCCTGTTTGGCGAACGTGTACTGTGTTAGGATGGCGCGGAGCTGCTGGCTGAAATATGCTTGACGAAAATTTTATATCGCCTTTTACAAGCTAATTGAGAATCGCCGATTGACTGCAAACGACATTGTGCGCACGCGACAGCATGAGTGTCAGATCTTGAACTCTGCTCTACGGTGTTTGGTTCATATTTTCATATACGCCTGTTGTCGTTAGCTCACTCCCAGAGATAACAGGTATGTATTGTTCATGTACTTTCTTTTAATCTCCTTTTTTCCGCATGTTTTAACCATAAAGTGTTTTGATCGTCTTGTGTTAGTGCAAATTCTCAAACAAGTATTTTTGCTCATGTATTTGTTTTCTAAGTTGTAGCCGGGAGATTTTGTAAGTCTTTACAACTAGCTTCTATTATTATTTGTTTTAAACATTCATCTACTTGGCACATTTAATTTTTTTAACTAATTTATTCAGTGTTTCTTTATTATATGACAGGAAGTGGTGCAGTTGCACGCTCACTGTTGCTGCTGTTTCAGATTCAGGAACTTGTTGTACTATTTTCTTTCTTTCTTCCAGTAACGTTAGCTGATCAAAATGGATTCAATGGATGAGTTGTATGGAGACATTGTTGACAAGTCTTCTGGTAAGAGTCTTTCTTCAGCTTAACTTTTCAAAAAGTAGAGAATTTCTATGTATTATCTTGTATTTATTGTAGCTATTATCGCTAATTTGTGTTGTAAATTTAATCTATTAATGAAAGATTTGCCCAGGTAATCCACAGCCAATACCTAAATAGCACATTCTTGTTTATGTAAATGTGTTTTATTGATGTAAAGTTGGTTTTATATTTGCATATTCAGACTTTCTCCTCAACCTGCTTCATCTTTTGTCCATATGTTATTATTTGTAAAAATAATAATAAAACATTGTAAGAGTGGTGCAAGAAACAAATTCAATCAAGACATAATAAATGTATAAACATGGAAAAAAATATATATAAAAACTTCAGATGCAAAAACCTCCAAATACTATCTGAATTTTTCAACTAAACAAGCATTTTTCACAGCATCCTTTGTTTATGATCAGCTATTTCACTTTAAAGGCAATGAAATCAACTTATAAAAGTAAAAATATTGAGCCTACACACAAGAGTCAGAGAAAAAAAATGCAAATTTTAGAAAAAAATATCAAACAGCATTTAGGGGAGTTTGCATCTAAACGCTTCATAAAAGGGTTAATACAATTTTTAAAAAGTATTATTTGCCAATTCTAAGTAAGGAAATCATATAAGGGACCAATGATTATCAAACTACAGCATTGCAAACAGTCAAATAAACAGTGCTACTGTTGTTTTGAAGTCATACTTGCATGCTATTTCAGACTGAATATACATAGTAATGTAGTAGACAATATTGGAAGTGTTAAAATGAATGTGCGAAAATAAAACTAACTTTACCTCAATATGTATTTTTTTTTTTTTGTCCAGCATTGCATTATCACTGCTATAATAGCTGGATTACATTCTTTATAGCAGATAGTCAACAATTCCTTGACAATATTGAGGTAAAGTTGGTTTTATATATCGCACATTTGCTCATTTTAACAGTTGTTTACCAGGCTAATTTGAATAGTCAGTCTGAAATCGCATTTATGTGTGACTTCCATACAACATTAGCACTATTTAATTGACTGTGAATAATGTTGTACTTCTAAAGCTATTGGCTGCTAATATGATTTCCCTGTTATTAATTAGCATATAATACTTTCCTGAAATGTTATTATTAAGGAGAGTGTCTGAATGTGCGAACCTAAAACCAACTTTACTTCAATCTTGAGAATTTCAATAGTTAAAAGGCAAAGTCATGGAAAACCAAATGTTGATTCATTAGAAGCACAAAAATTAAATAAATATATGATAATTACATTTAGCCATTCACCCGGGTTTGCTTTTTAATAGCTTTTATTTGTTTTTGCATATGAAAAGTACTTTATCCACATTAAAAAAAATCCTGATTCCATCCTGATTTTCTTATTTGTACAGGTTAGGTGTCCTAGCTATGTCAAAACCGAATATAAAAATGCATTAACATATTTGTGGGGCTTCTTTTTAATAATATGACTGTATCCGTGTTTTTTTTTGATGCAGGTACTCCTCTCCATCACAGTGAGGACTCTGTGGACATTTACTCTGGCCTGGAGAATAGCCCTAAGTGTGATGGGCACAGAGGTGGCTTTTATTAATGAATATGTTGTAATTAAAATAAAATTGTTGATGCGTGAATATCAGTGATATGTAGATGAAAACTTTCAGATTGTAATTCTTACCTTGTTGGTTTTTAATTGGTTACAGTTAACACTATCCTTTCTCCACGGACCATGGAATCTATGGATATATATGAGGAAATTATCAGAGAAGAACAAGAAGAAAAGGAAGCAACTTACAATGAGGTTTGTTCAAAAAACAAGTTTTGCTCATGATATTGATTTGGTTATTCTTGAAAGTAAAGAAATGGACTTCATTTTGTCTTTAAATTCGACAATTTGTCTTTTATTACAGTTGAAGCAAAAATTTGATGGCGCACAAAAGCAAGTTAATGAACTCCTGTCAAAGTTACAGCTACTGCAGACAAAGGTGTGTTTGTTTTCATGGTTTCTGATAAATATCCTCATAACTTGTTTCAAAATAAAACTGAAAATGTATACTAAAAATGAAATGTTTTTTTTTTTATATATATCTAAAGAATTCAAGTTTAAGCTCTGAAAACATTCTTCTGAAGAAGAACATTTGCTCTCTCATCAAGACTGCTAGAATGGAAATTGTGCGTAAGGATGAGGAGATTAGCCGACTCAGCAATAGGTAAGAACTCAGGAGCTAATACTAAAATCAGCAAACAAATAATGAACTCTGGTTTGTTTGGTATTGGATGCCGTTCATGTTAAACTCATTTTGTTATGTTTCTGTGTTTCCTTTACAGGTCTGGTCGTGGAAGTTATGGTCACAGTTTCTATCAATCTCAAATGGGAAGTGCCTCTGCAAACACAAGACACACTTTAAACAATTCTACAGGTTCTGTTTTAGAGTCACGAGGTGCTAGACAAGAAAAAGTTATGGATGAAGTAAATCAGCAAACGGACAGGATCACTTCAACATCAATTTCAGCATCACAGCCATTTGAGGTGCTCCAGAGATGTCCAAGAACTGAAAGTGAAAATCCTCTGCAAAGTCAGAATAAATCTGCTGCTAAAACTGATCGTGAGATCCTCAGTATTCAACCACAGCAAGAGTACCGACCAGTCCCTCCTTGCAGAACTTCCGAGAGTATAACAAATCCCACCACATTGCCCGATATCTTGAATACTTCCAAAACAAAAAACTATAAAAAGAGAGTTCCAGATGAAACTACTGATTGTCAATTAAGTAACTTGAAGGACAATAAGAATTGTCCCTCAAATCAGGATGACAAGCTAGAAAAGCCACAAAAATGCACAAGTAAGGATCAAATGTGTAACTCCAAAAATAAGGATGTGTCACCACAGAGTAAAGCAGACTTGAGCAAGCCAGTAAGAATGGAAAAAGAGCTGACAAAGGATAATTCTGTGTCTAGTGAAAACAGGAGTCAGCAGCTTGAGGTTCCAGTTGTTCTTAAAAGTTCAGAGCAATTGAAAAGTCATTCTTCCCAGTCACACAAATCCTTTTCATCTGCTTCGTCTCACTCCAGAACCTTAATTAAGAAAGCAGCAGACACGGAGGTGCAGAGTCAAGGGCACATGCATAAACAAAACGCAGAAAGAACAAGCAGAGAAACGAGACAATCTGGATTGAGCAGTACAGAATGCACTGTGGTCAGTGAAGAAAACCATTCTCAAAGCCACAAAGGGAAGAAAAGAGATGCAAGTGGTTCTGAAAGAAAAGAGGAGAAACGTTCTAGTACAGAGAGGAGGAGCAGCAAAACTGAAAGAAGCCGAGACCATGAGCAAAAGAGGCCAAAGGAGAGTAACCGGAGCAAAAGAGATGAGGGTAACAGCTGCAGCAGCAGAGAAAGAAGAAGCAACAGGTCAGAGAGTAGCAGAGACCATGAGCGGAGAAGTACAAAGGGGAAGGATAATAAAGACCAAGATAAAAGATCTACAAAACAAGTGGATGGCTCAGATAGTAGGCGAGCTGTTTCTTCTCCCAAACATGATTCTCAACGGAAGGATGTTAATAAGGAGAAATCTTCAAGCAGACTTGATGAGGTTCCATCAAAAAGTAAGAGCTCTCATAGACATGACAAATCTAGAAGGACGGTGGACTTAAAATACCTCAGTAAAAGTAGAAATTCTGATAAGACTTGTTTAGCAGATAAGGAAATAGAGAAGGACAGAAAAAGAAATGGACATTTGGAAGAGAATCGGGTTGAGAAGGATGGAGAATCCAAAAAATTAATTAAGGATGACAGAAAGAAGTCCTCTAAAAAGCACAAAACTAGCAGAAGATGTCAAGACATTGAGAATGGGCAGGACATGCGTCTTGAATCTGTTCATTTAGAATCACCATCAGTGGTATCTGTCAGTAGCAGTCCCTGCAAAACAGCCGAGGATTATAGTCCAGATAGAAAACTGAGTTTTATGGAAACACTGAACCTCACCCTGTCACCTCTTAAAAAGCAGAAACCGTCTTCTGCTCCCAAAGAAGCCACTGGAGGAATATCTGAAGATGTCATCTTTCATAACAGCAGATGTTCAGATTCCGGGGAGGAATTCTTTGTCATAGATGAATTAAAGAACAGCCAGAACAGTGTTGAGGAAATGGATGAGATCCCTGAGCTTACAAATGCAGAAGACCTTACCTGTTCTTTCAAACAGTCTGAAAATGCTTTGGATATGATGACAGCTGTAACCTCTGAGAAGCTCTCAACAGAAAAAATAGAAATAGCAATACAAAATAAGAATGTCACCGAAAATCAAGAGACTGTGGACGAAGTGGCAGCCATTGTTAACCCCTCAGAAGAGAAAAAAGACACATCTTTAGAATCCAAAATATTAGACACTGATTCAATTTCAGTAATAACTCTTACAAAAGAATCTCCCGATTTTGCAAGTCAGAGCCATGCGGAAGATTCTCCAGGAACTATAGATAATGCTGTTGCTGTTTTTAACACTTCACCTGCTAAACCATCAGAAGATGCAATTTCAGATAATGTTCCTCAGTCAATAGTTGATGGTTGTCTGCAACCAGATCTTTTTGCCACCGTGTCTAAAGAGACTTCTCAGAAGGAGTTTCAAGGAAACACCCTGCCAATGTCTAAAGATGTTCTACTAGAATCAAATGAGATTTGTCAGGGTGCTGTGTCATCCTCTGACAAGGAGCACAATAGTGCTACGATTAATTCCTCTGGGAATTCTGACAGTTCTGTCAGTATGGAAGTTTCGTCTAGCACAATTTGTGCAGATCTTAATGGCCCAAGCAAAGTAATTTGTGATTTTGAACAAGTTGATTCTGCAGAAGACGATAGAGAAAGGGAAATATTTGAAAATATAAAAATGATGGAAACACAGCAGACATCTGAAAATCTAAAAATATCTGAAACATCCCTTCAAAGTCCATTACGGAGTGAGAACACTAAGGCTCCAAATGATGGCACCAGTGTTGAAAAGGAGACCATATCATTCTCCCAGTCTAGTTTCTTAGAGCCAGATTCCACAGAGAAAGAGGAACAAATACCAAAGTCATCTAACTCTGTTCTGTTTTGCCATGATGAAGACTCTATGATGCTTACACTTAGAAACATCAGAGTTATTCCAGAGCCCATCAGCCCTCTCACAAGCCCAGTTCGTCAGGTTAAGAAAGTACAACCTCCACTTGCTGAGAAACAACCACATGTCAAAAGTCTTAGCAAAGGTGGGTGTGAGTTTTTCGTTGTCATGTTTTTTTTCTTTATAATTATCAGAATGGCACTAGTTTGACTGAAATGTATGCTCGTATAACATATGTATAGATATAGAGTGTGCTATATTATATATGTCTTTGTTTCTTTTCAAGATCTCTCAACTGTAACAGCTGGCAGTGAGAAGGATAAAGTCAACATGGACATGAACAAGGAGAATAAGTCACCCGACTCTTCAGTCACATGTTCATCATACAACGTGACAAAAGATGCTCTCTCAGCCAGTGGGAATGAAGAAGATGAGTTAGAGGACGGTGAGATAGTGAGTGAGAGTGAAGAAGAGGGACCTCTGTTTATCCAGACTCCTCCAAGAGAAAAAGACAAATCAGCCTCAGGGGCTCGTACAAGTCCAAAGCTATCTGCATCTGGGAAAAGAGTCCCCCAAAAGAAATCTTTAGTCCCTGCAAAATATTCAGAGCGAAGTAAGAGTTCAAAGTCAGCTTCTGCTAATGACAGTCCTACCTCAAGCAAGAGGCGCTTTAAAACTGTCAGCCCACCACTGACAGCAGCAGTCTATACTTTAGATGGTTTTATGGACATGTTAGGATCTATTCGACATGAGTTAAGGAAAAAGTATATGAAGCTTCAGAAAAATGTCACCAAGACTGCCTTCTGCTGTATAGTGGAGATGTCTCATGCATCTTTTACAGAATTTATCAATGCTGTTGACTTGGATACATTGTGCTGCAAAGCTAGTGACATCAAAGTTCAACTTAATAAGATAGTTTCATCTATCATGAGCAAGGTCACCAAGAATGGCATTGTGAATCGGATCTTTGAGCAGAGAGCTGGAGACCTAAAGCAGAAGTTGTGGACATTTGTCGATGGGCAGTTTGATTTTTTGTTCAAGGAATTGAAGTTGGCTCTCAAATGTGTATCTGAGCCATCCAAGACTACCTCATTTGAGAATAAAAATTCAACTCTTAAAAGAAAAGAGTTTGAAAGTGAGACTGTAGAAAAAGAACCTTTTAGCACACCTGGGCCTCTTCACACTGCCAAGAAGCCAAAAGTTGACACAGGAAGTTTCATCAGAGAGGTCCTTCCACGTAATCTGCCTCGAAGGGGTCTTGGGAGCAGGGGTAAAAATATAAAAGCTGTTATGAATGAAGAAAATCAGCCAGCAAAATTGGCAACACCGCATAAGCTACCTACTTCATCCTCAGAAAGGTCTGTCCAGGAAGGTACCTCTGGATCTGAGAATAAAAGCTCTTCCTACGTCCGACGTCTTTCCCATAATGGATCGATTCAAGATAAATCTGACTTTGAACTTCTCACCGAGCAGCAAACATCAAGTTTAACCTTCAACTTGGTGTCTGACTCTCAAATGGGAGAGATATTCAAGTGTCTTTTGCAAGGATCTGATTTGCTTGAATCAAGTGTTACTGTTGGTGAGAATACAAGTTGGCCACTCAGCACACCTCGCAAGGAGGGACTAGCTTGTGAGAGCTTGATTGGATTTATGACCCCCAACAAGACCCCATTTAAATCAATCACACCCTGGTCTTCCATTTCTCCCTACAAGTTTCCTTCAAACAGCAAAATGGTGGTAGACCCAGCAATTCTTGACGAGAGCTGCTTGTTAGAAGTTCCCTCTAATTCAGAACCATGCCAGCTTGCTCTTCAGTCAACTGTAGTCTCCCAGAGGTCCTTCTCCATCTTGGCGGAAGATCTAGCCGTATCCCTTACCATTCCCTCACCACTGAAGTCAGATAGCCACTTGAGTTTCCTGCATCCTGGAACTGGACAGCCACTGTCTGCCCCAAACAGTGTCCTTAGTGCTCATTATAGTGAAGATGCTCTTCTTGATGGAGAAGATGCCACTGAGCAGGATATCCACCTTTCACTGGACACTGACAACTCTAGTTGTGGGTCGAGCCCCAGCAGGACTTGGGAGGGTTCTGATCAATTGGGTTTCCAGTTTCAGCCGAATTTGCCAATGCAGGCGGTGGTAATGGAGAGATCAAATGATCACTTCATTGTGCGGATAAGGCGGACATCCACTAGCCCAAGTGAAGGGAAAGCAGTACCAACATTAGCTAAATGTCCAGAGCCATCTCTTAAGCCTAATGTCAATCTGACCCATGAAGACTTGAGTTCTGCACCTGGAGAGATGTTGACCAAAAGTCCAACCAAGGTAAACAAGCCCTGTCACATTTCAGAAACGGTAGAATCTCAACCATCAAGCCAAAAGTCTTCATCTGAAGGTGATAAAACATTCTGCAACAATGCCAAGCCTGTTTCCAAAGAAGTGTGTTTCCAAAGAAGCAGGGATATTGAGGAAAACAGTGCAACAGAGGTTAAAACATCAGAGAAGGTGTCAGAAAGTTTAAGCAACAACATTCAGAGCTTAAGTGCACCAGAAACGGAACCCGAGAGGGTGTCAAGGAAACGCAAGGACCGCCAATCGGAGTCAAAATCAAAGCGCTCAAAGGTAGAAAAATCTAAAGAAAAACATTCCAAGTCCAGACATAAGAAAAAGTCAAAACCCTCTAAAGAAAAAGTCTTAAAAACTGCAACACCCCCAGTGTCTCCTAGCAGCCTTTCTGCTAAGAATGTAATCCGAAAGAAAGGGGAAGTGGTGGTGTCATGGACCAGGTGAGTTTACTTCAATTCCAATGCAGTTATGGGTTGTTTTTTGTTTGTATGCAAATAAAATTGTTTAAGCATCCAGTTAAACAGTTGGTGTCTTTTGTAGGGATGAAGATCGGGATATCCTTGTCGAGCTTAAAATGAAGGGAACTTCACCCAAGACATTTGCTGCTCTGTCGAAAAAGTTGAAGAAATCAACAGAGCAGGTATGCTCCCTAATTATTTTTTGATTGACATATTGACTCTTTTTTTTTTTTTTACATTGACTTATCTACCAGCTTTGATGTAAACTAATGATTGCATCTTTTTTACAGATTGAGGAGCGATTTTCTCAGCTTATGAAGCTTTTTAAGAAGAAAGAGAAAATGGAGAATTGATTGGACCAGCAAAAACTTGAATGAAATGGTGATACCATTACCTCCATGACCATCTAATGAGGAAATGCAATACAGTGAACATGAAAGTCAGTGTATTTGCTCGGTGACTGTTGTTGTTTCAGGGCACTGACAGCTGTAACTCACTAAAAGGTCTGCAGTAAAGGGTGTAATCTCTTTTAGAGCTTTAGTTTTTTCAGTGTTAGTAGATTATAATAGAGCAGATGCCCATTGGCCAACACATTGAAGCATTTGTTAACTTCTACACTGGTGCTGTGTGGTCTACTCTGAATTATTCCTTAATCTGTTAAGGACTTAAAATATACAATCAGATGAAATAACGGTTCATAGTATTTTCAGCGCTCAAAGCCTTTTATGATGCCATGGTATTTACTTGTTTATCTTAATTTTTGGTCATTGAACAAAGTACTATAGTTGCTATTTTGTTAATGCAAATTTTTATGCAATGGAAATGCATAAAAACTGTTTAATTAACATCAACTTGACTTTCATGTTGACTTTTGTGATGCTTACTATGCCTTTTAAACCTACCTCCAAAGACTTGTTTTTAATATCTTTGACCTAATTGCTTGTGTGCCTATAGGCCTCAACATTTATTGACTTGATTTTTCATCTGATTACATGAACAAGTTTGGTATTGGAGTAACATGGTCCTAAATGTAGAGAACGCTTTTCTTCTTTATTCGCAATTGTCGTCATTTTAATTTACACTTTGTTCACTGGTCACCATAAAATAAGTTTGATATTTCCATATTAATGACATAAGTAATGTTTCAGGGATTTATCCCTTGTGTGTGTGTGTATATTTGTAAAGTTGAATAGAACTGAAATTTTTGATGACTTTTAAAACAATTTTATTTTTATTTTTTTCTCACAGAAAGACTATAGATGTGGGGAAATTACCATGTATGTTATTTGGAAATACACTTTGTAAATATTTGTAAGTTTTGAGAATCCTTTTGAAATAAATCCTATTTATTTAAATGCCAAGTTTTTAGGGTAATATTTCACTTTCTATACAGTATTATTTCTCATTCTGCAACTATTATTTTTGATTATTTAATTCATGTGATTTGGAAAATGTCATTTGAAATAAATTAAAGTATGTGGACAGGAATCTAAAATGCACATTATTCAATGATAATTAAAATAGTTAAGTAATCAGCTAATGTATGAAGTTAGTTCCTCTGGAATATCAACATTATGTTTATGCTTAATGAAATTAGTATCAAAGATTATAAATGCAGAGACTTGTCGAATGATTGACTGCTTTGTAGTCAAAGCTTATATGATATATTTAGGTCACAGCCTGTGGCCGCTGTTGTTAACCTCAAATCACCTCTCAAATTACCATTCTGTCCACATTCAGCTAAACTAAAAGTCTTTAAAAAATTTAAGGTAAAATTATTTACATTTAAGTTTATGTTTAAAAATACGATTTTCAAAAGTAAATTTTTTTTTAAACTTACCTATTTGAAATTGATATAATTGCTGTATTTTCTGACTCGTTTTTCCTCCAATATAAGTGGTTCTTTATAATCATCTATGGGTTGCATAAACCCAAGTTATGGTGATATAGAGTTAAACAGCTTGTTTCATGTAAGGTTATTACACAGTAACCATGGAACTGTTATAGACATTTAGTTTTCCAAAGCATAATTGGGATTTAGGAACAATTTAAAGTCACCAATTGCTATATACTTTTAAAAAAGAAGAACAATTTTTTTTGAAGGGGGCTAATAATTCTGACTCCAACTGTCTGTGTGTGTGTGTGTGTGTGTATATATATATATATATATATACATATACATATATATATACATACAGTATATATATATATATATATATATATATATATATATATATATATATATATATATACTTAAGGAAAACATATTCCCTGTAAGTAAATGAGCTGCAGCAGCACGCAGTATAATTACATGTCTTGCATAATTTGTTATGTGAAGCTGAATGGTATCCAATTGTTAATTACATCTCTATCTGTGCAAAGCTATTAACAGTTGGCTCACAAGGTGGTTTTCTCTTGTTACATCACCCGCAGACTACAGAAAAGCCCAAAATAGCCCTTCAAGCGTTTGACAGTGAAATCGGACATGACTCATTGATCATCATGTCTCGTCTAGATGCAAGTGTTGTATGTTCAGAGTGGAATTCTGGCTTACTGTTTACTGAATACTGCACAGTACACGGCATTCTACTTTCAGCGATTGGTGAAGTAATGTGTATTGAACAGCAAATATTTCAAAAAGCAGTAGCAATGTTGTCACATGAAATGACAGTACATTTAATTGAGTGTAAACAGAATTTAGGCTTTGTTTAACCGCTTAAGTAGCTGTAAAGAAAATATTTAATTAATCATAACAGTAATCATGCTTTAGAAAACAGAATGTCTATAACACTTGGTCTCAAAGTTAATATGTGTGATAACCATAGATTAAACAAATCTAGCTGTTTAAATCTATATCACCATGAATCAATCAAGAAATCCAGACTTCCTTTAGTAACGGATGATGATACAGAATCCATTACAATCAAAAATGTTAATCTAGGTGCTTGTTCAAACTACTTATTTAAAATGAGCTGAATCAACACAATTCTTGATTTTTTTGGCGGACAGCCTAATTATTTTATTAAGTTAACTTAATTTGTGTTGGGAAAACAAAGCATTTGTGTGAAACCCAGCATTTTTACAGTGTAAATTGGATGAAGTACAATGAACTTGAGTCATGAAAGTGTTGACTAGACATGCTGAGATTAAATTAATTCATGAATGTTTACCAGATGCTATGAGGGAATGTCGATTGGAGGTGCCTCAAGAATCACTGGCAAACTGCGTAGGGGAAACTCATTCCATCATGAATTATATAAAGATTTAAAGCAGGGATTATAACTTGTAACTGAAAATGGTGGGTTAAAAACAAAACATTGTGTAGTATCATACTAAGCTGTTCGCTGGCTGTAGTTGTTTATCTAGAATCAATTTCAGTTTGCATATTCTTAAAAATAAAGGATACCACAAAGTGGTTTCAAAGTGATCTCACAGAAGAACCATTTCGGTTTTCTCATAGAACAATGGTCTCAAAATTAATTCCTGGAGGGCTGCAGCTCTGCATAGTTTAGCTCCAACCACCTCCAACTCACACCTGCTTACAGTTTTTCATGATTGCTAACACACTAAAATTAAACTTTTACCACAATTAGCAAAACCGTACACTCAAGGAGCAAAACACAAGGCTAGATCTGCACAACTGTAAGCACATTGTCAGCTTCACACTTTTTGCAAAACATTGGTGATTTGCAAATCACTAAACACACTTGGAGGCTTTTGACACAGAAATGTTTGATAATGGAATTTCCTTGCAATTTCAAAGTAAAGGCCTTCAAATGAACAGACACACAGGAACCATAGGTTAAACACAGCCATCAGGTGTGCACACACACTGCTGCAAAACTGTAGACACACCAATCAGCTGGAACCACAATAAAGAAAAGCAATAGGTATAAACTATAAGTCTTCTTTAAACATGCTTACTGTAGTATAGCTATAAATAGTAGTCTTCAATAAATGTGTTTTACAGGAGCTATAAATATTAATCTTCAATAAATAAGCCAAGGTTGCAGTATGGAAGAGGAAGCACGAAAGTAAGGAAGATTGGTAAACGGGATGGAATTTTATTTTTTTTTACATTGAAATGTATACATCACTAGAAAGCTGAATAAATGAGCTTTACATTGTTGTATGGTTTGTTAGGATAGGGCAACATTTAGCCATCAGTCTATCACTGTTGAATACAGTATGTTCATGTACTTTATAGCAGTACCCCGATTATATCAGTATTGGTCAGTGAAAATGATACAAGATTGATTACAGCATTGTGTAATTGAAGCAAACAGATTTATATTGAATGAAGCGTGTGTGTTCTGTACAGTGTTAAAATTGTGTTTTGTTATAGTGTTGTAAAGTTTTGGATAAAGTGTTTCATTTTGCAAAAGCTCTGATGTGTTCTGCTGTTTGTGTGTGTGGATTTGTGTAAATTGTGTCTAGTGTTTTGACAAAATGAGCCTTCAAAATTTCAAAATTGTGCTTAAGCAATCAGAAAAAAACTGTAATAGTCTTTAGTAGTCTTGATGAGTTGAATCAGAGGTGTTTATTAGGGTTGGAGCAAAACTGTGCAGAGCTGCGGCCCTCCAGGAATCAAGTTTGTTCCAAAGAATCTAGTTCAAGAACAAAGAACAGTTCTTAAAAAAACAATTTTCACTACGGTGAAGATCGTTTTAACAGGCTAAAGGAACGTTTTAGAAATGTTAAAATTCTGTGGAGGTTAAAAGTTCTTTATGAAACTATCAATGCCAATCAAGAGCCTTTAAGAGTATATAGTTTTCAGTCATGGAGTATTGTGTTAGCACTATGACTCATATTCATTACCTGAACATATGCACATTGGCACGTTTCCAGACAGGTCATGACGTATTTTAGGATTGATGCCAACATGCTCCCTTTGACCTGCCCTCAACAGTTGTGATGCAAGTTAGCCCCCTTAGGGTACCGTCCAGCCTACAGATCGATAGCAGCATTGTATGAGTTGGGTGCACAGAATAATGAGTTCATTCATGTGATGTCAACAGAGGAGTACTAATTTCTCCCATGAGTGTGAAAGACAACTGATGTTGTGGGATTTTGCTTTTAGTATGATGGACTGATGCTACAGTTTTTCCGTGAATTCCACAAAAAGGTAAGTTTCTTTTTTAAATGGCTGTTAATGATCAAACCTTCATTTGTATTTGACCTAGTAAGGCTGAAATCTGTTCCAATTGTTTTTCTATTACCTTCACTCTTCCAGTTTTAGGCCATGTGAAAATGGGAGATTGGAACTTGCTTGGGAGTATCTTAGAGGAGGTTCACATTCACTCCACCATTGTGGGCAAAATCTGGCTTACCATTCTTTTCATTTTCCGCATGCTCGTACTTGGGGTTGCTGCGGAAGACGTATGGGATGATGAGCAAAGTGAGTTTGTGTGCAACACAGAACAGCCTGGATGCAAGAATGTCTGTTATGACCAAGCGTTCCCGATATCCCTCATCCGATACTGGGTCTTGCAGATCATCTTTGTCTCTTCGCCATCTTTGGTGTACATGGGACACGCACTCTACCGGCTCCGAGCTCTGGAGAAAGAGCGGCACAAGAAGAAAGTCCAGCTGAAGGTGGAGCTGGAAGAGAGTGAGGCTTTGGAAGAACACAAAAGAATTGAAAAAGAGCTTCGGAAGCTGGAGGAGCAGAAGAAAGTGAGGAAGGCCCCTCTGAGGGGTTCCTTGCTGCGCACATATGTGTTCCATATCTTAACCAGGTCAGTGGTGGAGGTGGGATTCATAGTGGGGCAGTACATGCTCTACGGTATCGGACTGACGCCGCTGTACAAGTGTGAGCGTGATCCTTGCCCCAACAGTGTAGACTGCTTTGTTTCTCGGCCGACAGAGAAGAACATCTTCATGATTTTCATGCTGGTCATATCAGGAGTGTCCTTGTTCCTCAATCTCCTGGAGATTTTCCACCTTGGTGTGAAAAAGATCAAGCAGACCATATATGGATCCATGTACAGCGACGACGACAGCATTTGCAGGTCAAAGAAAAACTCCATGGTCCAACAAGTGTGCTTCCTTACAAATTCCTCACCACAAAAACAGTTGCATTTGACACACACTTCCCTTGCCATGGCACCTGATGGACAGATGGTACCTTTGCCTATCTATATGCAGACAGCTGGTCATGTAGTGTCCAACATTAACCCAAATGGATCTGTGCAGCCTCTGAGACAGGACCGTCTTCCAAGCCAACCCGAAATTCAAGTTCTTCAACAACTGGGAATCAAAGAACGAAGGTCCATTCCAGACAACCGTCTGCAATCCTGCAGCAGTGAGGATTCTGGCCCCAAAGGTTCCGAACCACCGAAATATTCTCAGCAGCCCCGAGCTTCATTCAGAGCCAGTCATATAGAAATACCAGCAGCATTAAGGAAACACAGCCGTGTTAGTCAGTGTAAAGACTTCAGTGAGGAGAGTGATTCGGTGGAAAGTGGGAACTATCC